GTTAAACCTCATCCAACTGACCCAGCCTATTACTCCAGCCTGTCCAGGTCCCTCTGCAGGTCTTCCCTACCCTCCAGCAGATCAACACTCCCACTTAATTTCTTCACTTCTGTGGAGATAGCTTCATCACACATACTGAGCATAGGAGAGAATTCATTCACTTGTTTTGATACTTAAGCAGAGAATATGTTGGCTAAAAAGAGAGAGTGGAATTCCTCACCACTGGAGGTCCTCAAGAAGAAATAAAAACAGTTGTCCGTTAGGGACAGTAAAGAACCTGTCTCTGACATGAGGCAGGGAGATGGGCTATGTGATCCGATTTTCCTTCTGCCCACACACTTCTGAATGGGAAAAAGAAGCTGACAACATTTGACAGTGCCAAATGAGTCCTCTTCTAGCAAGTGCTTTATCGTGTGAGAAGGTTTTTGAGCTCTTGGCCAGCAGAGGTCTCTTTGCCAGCTCTGTATTTCCAGCTCTCCAGCAGCAGGGCTCCTTATAAAAGCTACACTGTTCTTACAGTTAAGCTTCACAAATCGTACAGCTAAAAGCACCTGAGTCTGAGGACAGGAGCTTTGTGAGCAAAAGGCTGCTTTTAAGGCCTACTTTTTCAAACTAACAAACTTTAAGAAATTTATTGTAGGTTTGGCGGTTGCAAAGAACTGTACCCCAGCACAGGACACGGAGTGCACCTGTGCAAAGAACCATTTTTGCAATTCTTCTCTGCCATGTAGGCATTGCGATGCATGTACTATGTAAGTTTATGCCTTCATAATTAAATATGAAATTGTTAATATTGCTTGTCATCACACCCTTTTCCAGCCAGTTTCAAGACAGAGGCTAAGGCAATGTGTAACTGGAGGGAAAACATACTGGTTTTCCTTTGCACTTGGCTTGTTGAGCTGACTTTGCTCAGTCAACTTAACTTACACCCATGCAGGCTTTCCAAAAGCACACAGAAAAACCTGTATTAAACCACCAAGCCTGCATGTACTTTTTGAAAAAAGTAATGAAGTATCTGAGCTTTTCCGTTGTCTTTGCGTGACCTACTGTTACATCTAGAAAATAATTTCCACACCTTTTTCCAATTCCATACATTCCCATACTATCTTCATTCTTACTAAATTCCAAACTCCAACATCTTCATATATGAACTACTTAGCTGATAAAAGATGTTAAACGATTTTGATTCACTCTCTTGACAGAGTTTATAAAGAAGGAAACAAAACCCGTAATAATTATTTGTTCATCTTTTCTGCAGCTGTGAAAGCGGTGTCATTGAAAAACCATGTACTTCAACTTCAGACACTGTGTGTGGAATGAAAGGTACTGTTTTAAAACCTGCTGTGGTCTAGCATCTGCTGTATTTTGGGAGGCTATTGAAATTACACTGTTCTACACGACAGCTCATAGTGATTCCTGACAGCTACGGGTGTGGTATCTGCTGAGCCCTGCACTGACCTGTGTAGCATGGTAGCACTTTTCCTTTGGTCACTGTGCCAACGTAGGATCTATTGCTCTTTTTTAGGGGCAACTCATGACCTGTAGCTCTTTAACAAAGAGTTAGTTTCTGCCATTAGGGAACAATAGAAAGGCTTTTGTAATTTGATGCAACCTTGTTTGAAATTTAGAGTATGTTGCTGTATTGCGTTTATCGACCTGACTTTCCTGTAATATTTCCAATGTTCCAACAGAAACAGGCATGCCAGCGTGGGCCATTGCTGCATTAATTGTCTTACTGCTATTAATAGCTGGAGCAATACTCTGGTGTAAGTGATTCCTTATTCCTATCATACTCTGAATAAGATATTCTGCTGCTTAATCAGAGGTAGCTTTATATTCCTGGAGTCTAGAGGAGAGCTATACTCTGTCCCAGATTTTAAAAATGCTTTTTTTTTGTTTCAGGCAGCAGAAAATGGAAGCGTCACACTAGCAAGGAGAACCTAGATGAAGTAGTCCCCAAACAAGAGGCTTCTTATGTAAGTGTTGTTACTTAGACCACAAAATGCTCAGCTTCATGAAAGGAACTTTGTTCCCTTTAAATTACACTGGGACTCCCCAAGTATGTGCATGCCTCTTTTCTATGACATTAATGAAGTAAATTTCACCATGAGGATTCTTCTGGGAGAAGAGGAGCCTTGTATTATTTCTTCAGAATTTGTTGACATGCTTCCTAAATTACACGACCAAGATGAAAACTTCATAAATCATCAGGCCTCCACTGACTCGGGACAGCTGTCCCCATGCATACTTTTAGGCAATAGCAATTCTAAGGTGATTCTCCAAGCTTACCCAAGTCAAAAGAGGTCTGCCTGTCCAATCTAATTCCCTCACTCATAAACCCGGGGAACCATGGAGAAAACTAAAAGACAATTACAGAAGCCAAGTGTCATGAAATGTGTTTATCCTCTTATACAAGGTTGTTGTTTTACAAAACTTGTTTCTACTTATTTCTCTCTTGCTTCTCTTTTCAGGAGAATGTTCCTCTCAAAAACACAGGTAATAGACAAGTAATTTCTCAAAATCAAGTAGAAGAAAAAAAACACAGACATGTAAATCTTACACTGTTAAAAGAGGAATTTTTGTGTAGAATTTGCCACTGACTGGAGCTGTCATTCTAGCATAATAGTGAACACTTATGAAAGAAATGCCAGTTCATATTGTGCACATTAAGACATTTATTGCTATCATGAAAGTTTTGCCTCAGGAGGAATTTCTGTTGTAAAGGAAGCAATTCCTAATTGACAGAAGGTGAATTTCTGTTCTGCTTGTGGTACAGACATGAGGAGGCAGCAAGCTGGATTTCAGGTATCATGGATAATTATGATAATGATGTAGTCCCACACATAGCAGTGGGATCGTAGAGATGCAAACCTACCTTACGTTCAAGGGCAAAACCACAGTAGTAACAAACAATAGGAAAAGAACATAAGCTCCAAAAGACTAAAGACCTGTCTTGTTCCAGGACCTTTCCCAATATTTTGAATAAAATAGGTACATGAAGGATAACCAGACTTTAATGATAGAGAAGGGCAGAGTAGGTGAGAGAGGGAACTGAGATTCTATTTCAAGTGGTAGAAAGCAAAAGAAACCTAAGTATTTGGATTACCTAGCATTTGGCAGGAACATGTAAAAGCAGACCTGCTGTATATTGTAAAAAAAAAACACATATAAAACATACCGAGTCATGAATACCTGAAAATATGTTTTGGGTAGGAAAAGCATCAACTCTTAGTGTAGGTGATAAAAAACCAGTAAGATATAAGTGTCAAGAGCATTAATTTCCTTTTGTGCTTCTAGATATTGACCTGAGTGACCTTGTTCCTGTTATTGTGGAGGAGATGACACTCACAGACGTCAAAACATTTGTTCGGAGTCACAAAGTACCAGAACCTGTCATAGATCAAACTGTTCGGGATTATTGTAATGATACATCTGAACAGAAGATTAAGCTCTTTCAAGCCTGGTATCAAAGACATGGGTTAAAAGGAGCCTATGGAACCCTAATAAGAAGTCTGAGAGAGCTTAAAATGTGCACTGCAGCTGATAAAATTGAGCAAAAGCTGAAGGCAGCTGTTTCTAGCTGTCAGGACGGGGGACAGTCTTATAATGATGACATTGAGCAAAGCAAAACCTGCACTGAGAAAGACAGAAACTCTTACAGTGATAATGCTGAGCTAAGTAAAACCTGTTCTGGAAGTTCGAGAAGAGATAGCACAGAGTCATTTGAAAATGATGCCTAAAGGAATTTGTATTTTTCCAATAATAGAAGTAACAAGGTTTAAAATGCCATTTTCATTAGCATTTCTGATTGGTTCAAGGAAGTTATAATATGAACAAGGAGTAATTATTATTTCTGTAGCAATATCTTTCCTTTAAAAAACATTTTAGCTTTTTTTTTGGTTGCTAAGAACTGGGAGAAGTTTTACGGCTTATTTACTGAAAGGTACAATAATAAGAGTCCAGCTATAGGGTTTACTACAAGAAGAACGAGGTAGCAGTCATTATTTGAAAAAAAGGTTTAGTGTCAGTGTATGGTCCCGCATTATTTCATCAGCGTATTGCTTTGCTTACATTAAAATTGTGGGATGTTGCATTTTTCAAAGTGAAAAGTCTAGTGTTAAGAGTCTATAAAGTGTAGGAGGAAGAATACTTGAACAAAAAAAATTGTGTAATATACACTGATTAATTTTGAATGCAGGTGTTACTATGTAATTAAATTCTATTCTATTGTGAATGAAGTTTCTCCCTTGTATAAAAGAACCTGTGTGTGTGTGTGTACAGTTTTGTATGTGTGTGTGTATATACGTACAAGTTTTCTATTCAAAAACTTCCAATGCTAAGTAAAAATTATTATTTCCATTGTTCTCTGCAATGATTGCAAGACTTTTCTGATGGTACAACCCCCCCAGGAGCTGAAGCAGCACAGCAGAACCATGACTTTTGGAAAGCAAACTGCAGAAGCTATGAAGCCTCCACAAGCATGTCTGCAACACTGACTTTTCAAATGCAGGATCCAATACAATGAAAACATCATTGTCATTAAAAAAAAAAAATAAAAATCCACATAGTACATGACTTCTGCCTTTCTTTCTTATCATGTAACCTAGAGATGTCGTTTTTATGTTTTCTTTTACTCAGGTTACTAAATCACAAAAAGGGAGATCACTGTCCTGGAAAAAGAAAAAAAAAAACAAAAACCAAAACCACCTTACCTTTTTTCCGTTATTACAGAGCACAGAAGTTCACTTAAATTTGCAGAACCAGTAGTGCTTGCTGCTTTGCAGCGAGGCCTTCCCTGCTCACACACCCAGTTATGCCAAGTCTCACAAAATCTTTCAACAGGAGACCCTGGGGTAAAGGTTTGATTTTTCCTGGTCATGCGGTAAGCAGGATGACTTTCTTCTTTGGCTCTGCCATCAGTTCCCTAGAGAAAATCTACAGCCAGTGTCAAGATTCAGCCAAAACACGAGGAAACCTGCCTGGGTTTGCTCCCACCTGCCAGCCAGGGTGTGCCCGTGTGGGGTTAGGGCCCAATCACTGGCACCTGGCCCCGGGGGTGTGGAAAGGGCAGGGCCAGCCTGGCAGCAGGGTGCCAGGTGCTGGCAGTCAAACCCTGGGCAACACTGGGCACCCACAGCCACCGGGCTTGCTCCAAGTCACGCTGCTACAAGTGGGGTGCCTGGGAGAGCTAGAAATCTGTGTATGGCATTAAGCAGGAGCCTGAAAGGAAAGGCAGGGCTTAGATTAGTTTCAAAAACTTTAAGCCCTTCATAGACTTGACCTGTCAAAGGTCTGAAGGACAGAGAGCATTTTGTTGCCAAGCCTAGACCCTGTTTAGGTTGTACAGCTCTTCCCCAAATCTCAAGCACCACATAGATGCTAAATACTCAGAAAAAAACTTTCACCACACTTTGGAGCCTCTTGCTTCTAAACTTTCTGCATTGTCTAATAGTATCTAATCAACCCTCTTGCCACTACCATACTGTCAAAATCCCCTCACTGCACTGCTTTTCAAAAGAAAACCCTCAAGCTACTGTAGTTGGATGGTTTAATAGCTGTTCACCAGACATGTGCACCTATGGACTGATTAAACTATAGCATCGTATAAATGGCTTGAGTCTGTGCTATCTGTGTCAGATCTGAGATGCTGCAAAAGCATGTCACTCATTGCTATGTTTTGACCAGGCTTCACATATTATAGGAGAATAAAACGTCTGCCTTTCAGAAAAGCAGCACGGCAGTGGTGTAGGCTTTGCCATCTTTCCTAGGTTGCAGTCACATAAAAGCACAGCCAAGACTCCAGGAAGTAAGGGAAGCTCTAGTCTCTTGCAAACTTAGGTAGGCAGGCTGCTACCTATACCCATGTCCCACTGAGGAAGGCATAAATATAGCTTAAAGGTATGTTGGCAGGTATAAGGGTATGTATGACTTTAACTTTGGCTTTTCTGGGCTTCTAGCTTTCTCTCTCAGAGGCATCTGGCCACCAGAAACTACGTCTGTCCACCTCTCAGCACTCTGTGGGTCAGTTAGTATAACAGCTGTGAACTAGGCAAATCTCAAAATGGTTGTACCAAACCTCATCCATTTGTGGCAGTCAAATAGAATGAGAAATTTTTCTTTCATCACAGCGGAATTCCCCAACCTCAGTATAGTGAGGATGGTTAAAAGAAAAAAGTCCCTGAGCAATGAGTCATATTCTCCTTAGGAGACGTCTGCAAGGCTCAACCCAGGGTGCCATTAATTCTAGTGGTGAGCATACATCATAATTGTTTTTCTTAACTGGAACAACGTGCAACAAATAAGAGGATTGATTATATTGTGCAGTTGGTTTTCCAAAGGAGTGCATATGTGTGTCTACATTAGACTCAGCAGTGCAGCATGGAGCTGTGTGATCAGGCTGAAAGTACCTGAACCAGAGACCAAAAGTGATGTAGCTCTGCTGACCCCCAGTAACACACCCAGCTTGCTATTGCCTCTTGCTTCTGGCCTCACGTTCACACTAGGGCTGCACAGGAAAATCATACTGCACAGGTTTTACTAGAACTGTTTCACCTTTTGCTCTCATCTTTCATTCTCAGAAGGAAAGCCCACGCACAGTCGCATGCTGATAAGCAAGACAACTGCCACTGCCTTAGCAGTGAAACATAATTCTTCTATCTTTATTCTGTGCTCTGCACTTTGCACACTTGCCATGACCTGTCTCTTTCTCCCAGATAAGGCTGCATCATGAGCAGTGTAAAGCAACTCTTTTTGTAGCTTTGGGTAGGGGAAAAAAAAATCAAAAAGAAAAAATGAAAGCAACAGAAACTAGTTTGAAAACCGAAACTCTCCTGTTCTGTGGAAACCCAGAATCAGAAAAGCAAGTGGAAACTGAAACAGAAACTTGGCCAGAGAATGACTTGACACATTTTGAAAAGCAGATCACAAAGGGAAGCTGCCTCTTCAGGAAGCCAAAACTTTGCAAAATACTTGTATCTGTTACTGAAATAGTAAAAGCAGAACAATTGCTATTTAAAAATAACAATAGAACAGGAACACAAAACAAAATGTCAGCAGGATGATCTTACTTCAGTCGCCTGCAAATCGAAAGTGACCCCATGAGGGAGGGGTCTGTTCAAAAATCCCACTGGCTGTTGGGCTGCGCAGAGCCACCCTGTCTGCTCCCCCGTGCTGCAAACTGTAGCATAGCTCCTGCTGCCCTGCCAGCAGACCAGACACCTTGGAGAAGACAGAAACAACGTCACTGTTACAGTGTGGCACCAGAAGAAAGCGGGAGAGGTTCAAGACAGATCCAGTATATAGGGTTGCTGCAATATGAAATAAATTTTTTTTAAAGTTATCCTGCAGGCTGCCAGCCCTTGAAAAGGCACGGCTGAGAAATGAAGTGCTGAGTGCAAAGAGTCTGAATTGTTTCCGTAGAGACAGCATGACAAGCAGATTAAAGTGTGAGAGAGCCATAGGCTTATTTCCTGTACGGAGGAGAGGAAGGGAAAACAGCACAAACAAACCTGTGAGAAGAATAAAACTGTATTAGGAAAAGCCTTGGAGTTAGACAGCTTGTTTTAAAGGAAGACACAACTTCAAAACTTGCATTCCTCTCTCACTGTTTGTCCATACTTGGATTTGGGACTTGAAAGGGTAGCTCGCATTCCTAAGAGGAAAAATGCCCACCATGTGTATCTAGCCTCTAGGATGGAGCTGCGGTTGAAAATTATAAAGGATGTGGGAACAGTCACAGAACTTAACATGCAGTCAGTGTTTTCTGGACAGCTTTTCAGTGGTTTTAGTTCAAGGTCCTTTCCAAACTGAAAGCAAGATTTTTAAGGCAGACAGAGTGCCACAGGGCCCTTTTCCATAGCGTTACACAAATGTCTCCCTCCCCCAGTATACCAGCAACTGTAACTAAGTGGTATTTTTATACCTAGCAAGGAACCTAGCAGGGAATCAGCAAAAAATGTTTGTTATAGCAAGGATGCTGAAAAGAAGGTCTGGAACAAACACAGTAGAAGAGTTAACGATGGAAAGCGATGGCAGGGAGCGAGCCAAAGGCACAGTCCTTGGAGGGACAGCACAGCCTCCCGTGCCCCGGGGGACGTGCAGCACACAGAGGTCACTGACCCTGCCTCCCATACACCTTCCCACACTGGTGTCCACATGACTGGCCGCCCACAGTCAGTGAACCTGTATGTGTCTTGTTGGGACATGAGCAAGAAATGATGAGGCAGAAGTACCCAGTTTCATTTCCTGTGTATTTATCTTACAGTCACTAATGGGAATCATACATTTTCCAGATTATCAATAGCTGACCATTTATGTTCTCTTCCTTGCTCTTTTTCTGGTCCTTCTTTCAATACTATGCAAAGAGGCCTCTCCAGAGAGATCTCTGGGATAGCTGAAGCTGCAGGGCACACTTTACAACACTCCCAGATTGCTCTGATGTGTCACCAGGCTTCTGGCAAGCCAGCATCCATCCCTGCTGGGGCTGGTGGTGCCCCAGCACCTCTGCTCCTCTGGGTGGGGACTGCAGCCATCCCTGCAGTCACAGCGAAGGACAGCCGTGACCTGGGCTCTGCTCAAAGGGTCTTGAGATTCAAGGTCTGTCTGAGACATGAGGATGACTCTTGTTCCTGAACTTCGGGTGCAGGGGAGCCACCCAAATCAAGCTTATACCAGACAGTGCCCCGTGATTTATCCAAGAATTGATAGCGGTCACTAAATAATTCAGTCGTTTTGAACCTCT